GTTCTTTGTAAACCCCGGATCTAAAGACGTCCGCAAAGATAAAATACTATAAGGAAAGATGCGTGGATTTGAGTCTAGATGTAGTTAAATATAACTAGAAAAATATGTCAAGTCAAGATCAACAGCACTTGTATTACTTCACATAGTGAATTTGAAGAAAACTAAAAATGATAATGTAATATTAATAGATTAATGAAGTAATACGTTATTAGAATGTGGATTTATTCATTTTACTTTTTCATTTACTAATTCATTCATTCATTTACTGATTCACCCAATATTTGATTATTTGATTAGATAATAATCAATTCACTGATTGTTTCGTGATCATAAAAAAAACCTAACAAATGATTTATCAATTTATAGATACAAGAACGAGCCAGCAATGAGTGATTTATAGTTATAAAAAAGAGCCCAATAATTGAATGGTTGGTTTATAGATACAAAAACGAGTAAACAATTGGTGATTTATTGTAATAAAAAAAGGCCAACAATGTGTGATTTATAGTTATAAAAAGAGCCCAACATTTGATTGATTAATTTATAGATACAAAAAATAGCCAACAATGAGTGATGTGTAATTATAACCCAAAAAAAAAGAGTCAAAGAACTGATTGATTAATTTATAGACACAAAAAAGAGCCAACAATGAGTGATGTATAATTATAAAGAAAAGTCCAACAATTGATTGATTAACTTACAGATATTAAAAAAAGAGCCAACAATGTGTGATTTATTGTTATAAAAAAGAGCCCAACATTTGACTGATTAATTTACAGATACAAAAAATAGCCTAATATGACTGACACATATTTACTTTTTTTTAAACATTCCAACAATTGACAGAATAATTTATAGACACAAAAAAGAGCCAACAATGATGTACGTACAAAGAACGGTATGAGTCCTTTCTCTATATCAGTGCTAATGGCGGCTTGTAGAGTATCCCCGACCAGTGAGCCTTTGTCATCTGTGGGCAGTGTCCGAATCGTGACCATGCCAATGAGGGCGGCTCTCTCCACGGAGCTGTGAGACTGCAATAGACGAAGGGATTTATTATTAGATACTCGCGGTTCAAAGAAGGAAACAGTGACATGCCATAAAAAAACAGGCCTTCACATATAATTAATATGTTCACGCGCGCGCACACGCTCACACACAGACACAC